ATGGGAATTTTTAGGATAGAGTTTTAAAAATGCATTGAGTGTTGTCTTTATAATGTTTTCCCTCCACCCCCAAACCAGATTAATTTTTTTTCTACACATCTGCTGTGTAGTTCCGTCCCTCGTTTACAATATAGGATTTATGCCCATCCTTGGAGCTCAGTTTGAGCCCCTCTAGTCCTTTCCAGACCCCTCTCCTGTGACCACCAGACATTTAAATGCCTTTGTTTCTGTGACTTGCTATTAGTGTGTGATCCTTGGAAGACAGGGCCCATGCTAGCTCTTTCCTGTCATTCCTTATCTCCTCTTTTCCTTATATTTCCCTATCTCATGTCACTAAGCAACCACTTTTATAGCCAGAGACTCTCAATGAGTCTCAGTCATTCTCCAGCCCTAGCTTATTAAGCTGAGTCCCACAGTGATGTCTCTTAGTCCCATTAGTAATCTCTGGAACCACTAACTGTCCAAAATGAAACTCCTGACAGAGGGAGGCAGCCAGATTGGCTGGGTCTCAAGATTTCTGGCAGAAGACAAGGATGTGGCCACAACATGGTCAAGCCAAGGACTGTATTTTGTATGAAATCCAAGAAAAACCTTCTGTTCTTCCTGACTCCCTGCTTCTGTTACTAGAACCATTATATTATACTCCCAGACCCTTAGGCTTGAAGCCTTTGGGTCTTTTGCCACCTCATTCAGCCATTTTCCCAGTCCCTGTCCTCAGATTTTATTTGTGCTCAAGTCCTAAAACACGGTACAAGTCTAAACCACTTTCCCAATTCCTGTTCCTTCCACTCACGAGGAAGCCCATACTCTTTACTCACAAACTAGACTTCTGAGGTGCCTGGCAGATTCAGCCAATACAGCATGCAACTCTTGATCTCAAGGTTGTGGGTTCAAGCCTGAGGTTGGGTGTAGAGATTACTTAAAAATAAAATCTTTAAAAAAACAAAACCAAACTAGACTTCTGATGTATGTATACCCTATCTCAGCCTGCCTTGCTAAAACAGCCTCAGGGTCTGCCCCGTACCCCTTATACTCCTCAGCATCATCACACAGCCCTGCCCCGCACCAGCCCATTCTTCATCCATTAGGAGGGACCAGTTCTCCACATTCTTCCACAGTAGCCTTCAGGAGCAATGTGCCTGGAGCACATTTTATGAAAATTAGTTTTACGTGATCATTGTACCAAGAGATCAGTAGAGCAGGGTGATACATTATACCTTACTGCATTCTAAATGCTTCATTTGTTAAATAAAATATGAAGGGTGCCTGGGTAGCTCAGTCTGTTAAGTGTTAAATAATAAAATACAGGGGTCAAAGATCTTCCTGGAAGTGCACACAAACCTTTGGTTTCAGTTCCATGCTTACTGCTGTTTGGGCCCCTAAGTAGATAGCTAAGGGAGGGCAGGAACTGTCAATTTCACCTCTGCATCAAGTGCAGTAGCAGACAGTGGATATCCAGAAATTGTTTCCCACTGGGAATTAATGCAGGAGCTGCTTTAGTATGCTTACTTGCTCCACTAGGCCATGAAGCAGCAGCCTGTTTGTCCCATGGCCACCCCCACCCTAGCTGGAGCTACTTGGAGGCCCATGTCAGGTACTAGTTGTATTTGGGATTGTTCAGCTACCCCTCTCTTACTCTGAGAGGGCTTGGAGAACTTTTAGGTTCTTTTTTTTTAATTTTTTTTTTCAACGTTTTTATTTATTTTGGGGACAGAGGGAGACAGAGCATGAACAGGGGAGGGGCAGAGAGACAGAGGGAGACACAGAATCGGAAACAGGCTCCAGGCTCTGAGCCATCAGCCCAGAGCCCGACGCGGGGCTCGAACTCCCGGACCGCGAGATCGTGCCCTGGCTGAAGTCGGACGCTCAACCGACTGCGTCACCCAGGCGCCCCATGAACTTTTAGGTTCTTTAAAATTTTTTAAAGATTTTTTTTGCTGGGCAATTAAAAAAAAAAAAAAAAAGTTGCTTTATGTCTTTAGCTCAACCACTGCGCAGCTCCATTGAGGGCCTAGGTGTTCTCATGTATTATTTCACTTGCCCCCATGATACAGATAGTAAACTGTGCAACAGGGAGTGTCCTGGTAAGGCTGGACTGTGGCAGTAGGAATTCTGAGTCTTCTGAACTCACAGTTTGTGTTTGGTGCTTGTCCTCCCCCTCCAGATTCTGCCTGATCAATGCGGGAGTCCTGTACCTCTACTTCAGCAACTACCTACAGATAGATGAGGAAGAATATGGTGGCACATGGGAGCTCACGAAGGAAGGGTTTATGACATCTTTTGCCTTGTTCATGGTATGTGTAGCTGACAGATAACAGAGCAAATCCTGTTGTTTCTCAAGGGGATCACACTGATTAGATTATACTTTGTGATTGATTGTGGCACCATTTTTCAAAAGGCTCCAGGGATGAGAGGGCATGTATTTTAGTGAGTCATGTTGTCTAAAAAGATTAGGTGTGGTACAGTGTAGTCTTGTGGTATCAGGGCCAATCATCAGTTTATACATCTGATTCTCAACTCTGGCTGCATATTAGAAGCTGGGAAACATTTAAAAATATATTTATGGCCTTATTCATAATAGCTGAAAAGCACAAAAAACCATTACCTGATCAACAAATAAAATACTGTATATTTATATAGTATTAGACCATAAAGAGGAATAAAGTACTTGCAAGTACTACAACTTTGATGAATTTTGAAAACATTATGCTAAGTGTAAGAAGCAGACACAAAACATGTTATATGATTCCATTTATAAAAAATGTCCAGAATAGGCAAAGCCATACAGATAAAATTAGATTAGTGGTTGCCAGTGGTGGAGGGGTGGGGTGGGGGGCAGGGATATGAGAAGTAACTGATAATGGAAACAGGTTTTCTTTTGAGGGTGATTAAAGTGTTCCAGAATCAGTTAGTGGTGATCTTTGCACAATTCTGAATATACTAAAAACCTCTGTATTGTATACTTTATTTTTGTATTACATATTTTTAAAGGTGAACTTTATGAAATATGAATTATATCTCAAAAGTTAACTTTTTAAAAAAATGTTAGATTCTGATCCAAATCAAAATCAAAATCTCTGGGTGGGGGTGCCTGGGCGCATGCGCATGTGTGTGCGTATATATATTATATATATAAAATAAAGGTCACAGGAGATTGCAGTGAACAGCTAGCTAGTTTTGAGAATCTGTTTATTTGATAGGAAGCTGACAGGGTATGATGGTGGTTTGTTTTTCACATTTGTTGCTGATCCTAACACTGGCAGTATAGTCTGCTTTACCTGTATCATTTCCACATCTGTAACTCCACTTCTGGTGCTCCAGTTGCTCTTTAGTTGAAAGAGAAGCTTGTCCACGGTCCCTTTTGGAGCACTGGTGGGTTGTCCTGGGCTCTGTTAGAGACAGCTTGATTTCAGTGAGATTATGTGGGCTTTCAGGCAGATTGCATTGGATAGCCCCTGGGAAGCCCACCATACACAACACATTCTTTGCCATTTTGGTTTTGTGGAGTAGGGGCCCATGTGGACCCAGATGACTTATAAACATTGCTTTTCTCCTCTCTAGGTCATTTGGATCATTTTTTACACTGCCATCCACTATGACTGATGGTATACAGATCCTACCCGCTCTCTGTCCGGTCCAAAGGACCCTCCTAGTTACAGCACAGAAACATGATTGTAGGGGCGCCCCAGCCATGTGGAACCTGAAAGACCCATGTTTCTTGGACCAAGAATCAGCGTGTCGGGCGTCAGTGTTTTCTGCAAGGGTTGTGATCTGAAACTTTTTAAAGAACCATCCACCTTTTGGGGAAGCATTTCTGAATTGTCCATCACCAACCATTTCTTCTTGGATATCATCATGAAACACCTGTTTGCTGACTGGAGCTGTCGTTCAATTTGATGCACCTCTGGATCCGGATGAAACATTGTCTTCCTCACTTCTCCATCACGTGTACAGTTTTTAAACTATCAGTGGCATTTCAAGTCTTCTGAAAACAGTATGGCAGTATGTGCGTGGTCCATAGCACAGTACAGGCACCATCTAATAACAATTTCCATTGTAGAATGTTTTCAGATACTTGAATAAATCAAATCTTTAATTGAGAATCTGTTGATGATACCTGTTAAAGCCTTTCCCACCTAATATCTTGCCTCCAAACCCTGCCCTCCATCCCCCTGCTCCTATAGCAGCTCTTCCCCCTGCTCCTATAGCAGCTCCAGCCAGGCCTCTTTTCCTTAATGGGCAGCAGGGAAGTGAGGGGCTAGAGTTGGTGTAGGCTGTGGCCTTAGCTTTGTGGAGAGAGACTTACCGACTTCTGATACCCCTGTCCGGCACTGAGAGACATGACTGACCTCACTACAGTGTGCTAGGCCCAGAAGGTGCCATTTTGCATTTGGCCACAAGATGGCAAGGCCATTGTAGCCAGGAAAGCTTAGACAGGTTCAAATGATAAGCCACAAAACGAAAGAACTCAAGAGCTAGGACTATCTGGAGAAGAGGCTTGATGAGGCTGTTTGACAACTTGGACTGTCAGAGGTCCTCTTTGTTCTGGGGGCCAGATAGGGGCTGGACATCCTGGATTCTGTTGCTGGGTAAGATATCCATCCCTTCTGCTTTCCTGTCCCTTCTAGGCTATAATCCTACCTTCTGAGGTATGGTATTGTGAGACATGTAAATTCTCTTTAAATGATTTTTTTTTTTTCTTGATGCTAGTGGTGGTTTCTACCTCATGGGTGGGGCTATGGAGGTATAGAAGGGGGCTCAACAGGCAGGGGTGGAAGATGGTACTGGAAATCCCAAACTCAGGTACTGACTGGGTCAAACCCCAGAGGTTTAGTCTCTTCGGAGCCCTGTCCGTATTTTCAGCTGGTCTGTATTTGAACTAGAGGTTACAGGTGGGTTCATGGCACTGGGAGAAGGTTAAGTGACTTCTTAGGGCTGAGAGAGGATATAGGTGGGACCCTGGATTGCCTTGAATGCTCCGGCTGAGCTGAGCTGGGAGTCTAGGTGCCGCAGCCTTGGATTCCCTTTTGGTCTCTGCTTTGGTCCCTGGCATCATCCAAGGAGCTGTCATCAGTCAGGCTGATGTAGGAGCTGAGGGCGTCCCGGAGTCCCTCACTGAGGAGGGAGGCCTCCCCTGTGCCAGGTGCTTCAGAGAACAGGAGGGAACTGTGGAGAGGGGAAGAGAGTTGGGTCAAGGAGCCTTGTCTTCCCTTGCTCACTGCACAGTTCAAGTTTTCACCACCTGAAAACTCACAGTGGCTCCCTGTCACTTAAAACCCCAGCTTGACTCCTCCACTCAGGACTGGTGCTTTCTGTTGTACACCATCTTGTCTGACCTTCCATCCTGGCCATCTCTGGTGTCTGGTCATGCCCTATATCCACTCCTTCTTTCTCCTTCCTGCCAGTCCCCCTACAGTCCTGGTGAGCCTGGCCTGGTCTCTACAAGGTTAGTAACTCACTGGTTCCCAGGTGTCCCTGAAGGTGACCAGCTCATTTGGGGTTGTGAGTTTCCAGGGGTGGGTCCTTCTGTCTCCTTTGTTCTACCTTCATGCTGTGAGATCCCCTTACCTGTCCAGCTCTTTCCAATTGAGTGGTGTCCTCTGCACAATCACAGGTGGGGGTATAGGCTTGCCAGGGAGTGAGCCAGCCCTCCGCAGGGCACAGGGCTCCTTGAGTAGGCAGCAGATGTCATCCGCCAACTCTGAGAAAGAGACGTAGACCCTTGATACGGCTGACTCCAGCCCTAGTTTCCTCCCTAACAACCCCCACCCTGACCACTTTCCTCATTTGGCAGGTAGGGGACTAATCAAAAAAGAATGACGGGAGGCGGGTGGGGGGCTGGCTGGCTCAGTAGGTAGAGAGCACGTGACTTTTGATCTCAGGGTCATGAGTTAAAGCCTCATGTTGGGGCACACGTTACATTTTAAAGTGACAGGCGTAAGCCTCAAGCTGTTGATCTGGGGGCTGAGATGCAATCAGAGGTCATTCTGGGCTAGGTTTTAGAAGACTAGTTGGGTAGGTTGATGGACCTCTTAGAGTGCCAGTTTCTGGTTAGGAAAGTACTTTGGGAAAAAAGCTAGAGAATGCTTAATCTCTACTTGTCCTGTCAGTATCTACTGCATGGACCCACCCTCTAGGAAACCCCTGATCAGTTTTCCCAGGAGTGGTCTTTCTGCCCCTTTGACACTGCCCTAGTGGCTGTATCCTCCAGTCCCTGTAACAGGACAGGCACCAGGAAATGCTAAGAATCAAATGAATTACACAATAGCAACAGCTTGGGGCCTAGTTCCTGTGGAGAGAACTGTGCTCAACATTGGGGTCTTGGACTCAGAACCATAGTGGTAGGTGAGGTATTGGTGCATGTTCACATGGGAGGTCCACGTGCCTCTGTCAGGGCATGGGATGAAGATAGAGCCCCCAGCCTAAGTTCTTGGCACAGGAACTGGCATGAAGATGGGAAGGCCCCTCTTTTGCCTGTCTGCATATTCTCCAGCAAGTAAAGTGTGCAAAGGTACAACTGTCTACCCCACATGCCAGTCTAACGGAAAAAGGGAAAGGCCATACCAGAGTAATGGTCCACCAAGGCCTGGAGTGAGGGGAAGGTGAGGCGTGGTGAGATGTACAGCCAGCCATTATCAAGGCGCTGAATCCTGTAGTGTCTGATCCGGTCCCAGGATGCAGGGCGGCTGAGGCGGACTGACAGGGAATAAAAGCCTGAGGAGGAAAAAGGGTTCAAGGCAGGACTGAGGCCCTGCTGGGACCCAGCCCAGCCCAAATTGGGAGAAGGAAGAGATGAGAAAGGCTACCAGGTCCAGACAGAGGGAAGTTGGCAGGGGAGGGACAAAGACTTGCTCTCTTGGCCATAAATGACCACACATTCTTATTCGATAGGGCTCTTGTGAGGATGAAGTGAGACCATTCACACAGTGCTCAGGACAGAGCCTGGCACAGTTTACGTGAACATTAAGTATTGGCTGTTGTTATAAAGACTTGGGTGGGCAAAAATGTTAGAATGTGAAAACATGTCTGTAGATGTCAGATTTAGAGGTCAGTAAGGACGTGCAGAAGGAGGAACTCTTACCCTGCTGGTGGAAAGATAATTTAATACAAGCCATTTTGGAAACAGTCGACATTAACTAGTTGAACGTGCTCCTCACAACCAGCCATTTCATCCTAGCATGTTACCTTAGAAATACATGAACAAATGGGACACCTGGGTGGCTCAGCCAGTTAAGCGTCTGACTTCAGCTCAGGTCATCTCACGGTTTATGAGGTCAAGCCCCTCATCAGGCTCTCTGCTGCTGTCAGTGCAGAGCTGGCCTCAGATCCTCTATCTCCCTCTGTCTGTCCCTCCCCCACGTGCTCACACTCTCCCTCTCAAAAATAAATAAGTACTTAAAAATTAATAAAAAAGAAATACATGAACAATATTCATAGCAGCATTGTTTGGAAAAGTCCCCAAACTTCAAACAGCCTATATGCATACAGCAGAATGGTAATAATATACAGCAGTAAAAGTTAATAACCACTACACATGCTAAGCATAGAAAAAAAAAATGAGCAGAAACACACATTCACAAGTCACAGAAGCATACAAGTCACAGAAGCATACATTCAGCATGATTCTATTTAAAGTTCAGGGGCGCTTGGGTGGCTCAGTCAGTTGAGTGTCCAACTTCGGCTCAGGTCATGATCTCACGGTTCGTGGGTTCGAACCCCACGTTGGGCTCTGTGCTGACACCTCAGAGCCTGGAGCCTAAATCGGATTCTGTGTCTCCCTCTCTCTCTCTATCTCTCTCTCTCTCTCTGTCTCTCTCTCTCTCTCTCCCCCCTTCCCCCCACTCAAGCTCTGTCTCTGTCTCTCTGTCAAAAATAAATAAACATTAAAAAAATAAAAAAAATAAAGTTCAAAGGCAGTTAAGACTATTGCATAGGGATACATGTATGGCAAGGCTTATGAGGAAAAGTAATGGAAGATTAACACAGTGAAGCAGGCAGAGGCTTCAAAGGGATTGTTACTGTTGTACAATTTTTTAAGTTGGTAAGTGGGCACATGGATGTTGGTTTTATTATTTGTCTTTAGCTTATATATTATATACACTAATATACATGACAGAACTTTCCCAGTTTTGTGTTTTTAGCTTTTTTTAATTATTTATTTTTTAGAAAGCAGGGGAGGGGGCAGAAGGGAAGAAACAATCTTTTTTTTTTATCATAATTATTGTTCTGACAGTTCATATTTATTCTCAGGACATTGTTTCAAACAGTAGTTTCTCAGTTGGAGAGGAAGTTCAAAGTTATTTTGAACTTGGTTAAACTCATTGCTTAGAGTTGTGATTACTTTCATGTCCTAATTAAATGAATGGGCAGATCTGTCTTCTGCATCTTGTTTGGAAGTCACAAGCAATCAAGAACAGTTTGATGTTATGATTGATGAGCATCATTCATTGATTTCTAGTGTCCAAAAATGTATGTATAATATTGCTTATCCTTGAATTGTCTTGTGGCATAGGATATACTTTCTATAGCAGGGTAATGGAAAGGGATCATTAAATGAAAAGATTGCATGCTTTATCTTGAAGGGACTGTTTCAACTGTGGCGGAAACATGACAAATATACCATGTGCCTGTTACTATAGAACCGAAAAGCCCTTTCTGTTTACACTTCAGATGCAAAATGGCTGAGAGAGAGAGAGAGAGAGAGAGAGAGAGAGAGAGAGAATCTTAAACAGGCTCCACACTCAGCACAGAGCCTGACAAGGGGTTCAATCCCATGACCCTGGCATCAGGACCTGAGCCAAAATCAAGAGTTGGACGTTCAACCAACTGAGCCACCCAGGTGCCCCCCTGCTTTTTGAGTGTTTAGAAAGTGACTGACTTTGGCTCAGATCATGATCTCACAGTTTGTGGGTTCAAGCCCTGAGTCGGGCTCTGTGCTGACAGTTTAGAGCTTGGTGCCTGCTTTGGACTCGGTGTCTCCCTCTCTCTCTGCTCCTCCCCCACTCACACTCTATCTCTCTCTCTCTCAAAAATAAACAAACATAAAAAAAAAACCAAAAAAACAAAAAAATTAAAATCAACTTTATTGTGGGGCACCCAGGGGGGCTCAGTCAGCTGAGCATCCGACTTCAGCTCCGGTCATGATTTCGCGGTTTGAGTTCGAGCCTCTCATTGGGCTCTGTGCTGACAACTCAGAGCCTGGAGCCTGCTTCAGATTCTGTGTCTCCCTCTCTCTCTGCCCCTCCCCCTCTCATGCTTTGTCTCTCTTTTAAAAAGAAAAACATTAAAATCAACTTTATTGAGTTATAACTCATGTACAAAATACACACAATAAAGTGTACAGTTGATGGGTTTCAACGAAATTTAGTTTTTAATTAAAAAAAATTTTTAATGTTTTTTAACGTTTATTTATTATTGAGAGACAAGAGAGAGACAGTGCGTGAGCAGGGGAGGAGCAGAGGGAGAGGGAGACTCAGAATCTGAAATAGGCTCCAGGCTCTGAGCTGTCAGCACAGAGCCTGATGTGGGGCTCGAACTCACGAACTGCGAGATCATGACTTGAGCCAAAGTCAGATGCTTAACCGACTGAGCCCCCCAGTTTGCCCCAAATTTAATTTTTTTTAAAAAAGGATTGGTTAGAAAAGGAAAACAGTTGAAAAATGAAAAGAAAAAAGACTATGTAAAATTATAATACGCAGGCCTACAATAGTAGTTTTCCACAGATGAGGATACATATGAGAGCACTTTATAACTAAAGTGGGATTCATTTCTTCTTTCAACAAACACTTCATCAAAGCCATATGGGAAGAGGGTGTTTAGTGAAATAATAGTAATGATCTATTGTGACTATCATCTAATGATCTAGAGCTATCAGTAGCTTTCATGTGAGTGCTTACTATGTGCTTTATAAGGATTATCTCATCTAATCCTCATAGCCATGCTGTGAGGTAGTATGGTCATCACTACTGTGCAGGTAAGAAAACTATGGCACATAGAACCTGGAAAAAGAGGGCATGATCCAGTCACTTACCCTTTCCCTGTGGAATGCCACCAAAAGGCAGGTGTCAATCTCCCAAACCACAGGCACTGCTCAATTTTAGGAAGCATTTACTTTGACAAAAAGGCAGAGATTTCAAACTGGGTTTTAAAGGGCACCTCAGTACGGTAAGCGTCTGATTCTTGATTTCAGCTTAGGTCATGATCTCACATTTCATGAATTTGAGACAGGAAGGATTCTGTCTCCCTCTCTGTCTCTCTCTCTCTCTCTCTCTCTCTCTCAAAATAAACATTTAAAAAATTACAATAAAAACTGGACTTTAAAAGTAAGGCTCAACTATATGATAAACACACTTTGAATAATAAAACATAGGCTAAAAGTAAAAAGAAGGAAAAAGATGTATCATGAAACATTAATCATAGGAAAACTGGAGTAGTTATATTCATATTAGACAAAGTAAAAAGCAAGACCAAGAGTATTAACAGAGATAAGAAGTACATACCAAGAAAACATAAAAATCCTGACTTTGTATGCACCCAGGTACCGAGATTCAAAATATATGAAGCAGGGGTATCTGGGTGGCTCAGTCAGTTGAGCGACCGACTTCGGCTCAGGTCATGATCTCACGGTTTGTAAGTTTGAGCCCCCCATCAGGCTCTGTGCTGACCACTCAGAGCCTGGAGCCTATGTCTCCCCCTCTCTCTGCCCCTCCCCCACTCATGCTCTGTGTCTGTCTCAGAAATAAACATTAAAAAAAAATTTTTTTTTAATATATGAAGCAAAACTGACAGAATTAACCAAATAGATATCCACGATTATAACTGGAAATTTCAACACTCCTCTCCCAGCACTTGATAGGACAGAAAATCAATCGAGATATAGAAGACTTAAATAATACAAGCAACCAATATGACTTAATTAACATAGAACACAGCACCCAACAACAAAACACATTTTCTTTCTCTTTTAGTTTTTTTTTAGTGTTATTTTGAGAGAGAAAGAGAGAGAGAAAGTGCGAGCAAGGGAGGGGCAGAGGGGGGGAGATACAGAATCCGAAGGAAGCTTCAGGCTCTGAGGTGTCAGCACATAGCCCAACGCAGGGCTCAAACCCACAAACCATGAGATTGGACCTGAGCCGAAGTCAATGCTTAACTGACTAAGCCACCCAGACACCTCCTTTATTTTTTTAAAGTAGGCTCTAGGCCCAACATGGGGCTTGAACTCATAACCCCAAGATCAGGAGTCACAGGCTCTACCAACTGAGCCAACCAGGTGCCCCAGTACACATTTTCTTTTAAGTACACATGGACTATTCAAGATAGACTATAGACTGGACCATAAAAACAGAAATTTGAAAGGATTGAAATCAATAGTTCTTTGACCACAACAGAATTAAATTATGAATTAATAACAAGATACCTGGAAAATTCCCAAATACTTGGAGATAACTCAGAGATCAAAGAAGAAAGCAAAATTAGAAAATAATCCTTCTTTTTTTTATTTGAAATTTAATTCTAACTTTTTTTAAGTAAGCTCTGTGACCAACATGATGTGTGAACTCAGGACCCAAGAGTCACATACTGTACTGACTGAGCCAGTCAGGTGCTCCATTTTTTTTTTTTTTTTTAAGTAAGCTCCATGCCCACTGTGGGACTTGAACTCATGATCCTGAGGTCAAGAGTCACGTGCTTGCGGGGAGGTAAGCCATAAGAGATTT